ATATATATATATATATATATATATATATATGAACCTTCGCCTCCTAAGTTCAAGCAATTCTTCTGTCTCGGTCTCCCAAATAGCTGGGATTACAGGCACACTACCACCATACCTGGCTAATTTTTGTATTTTTAGTGGAGACGGGGTTTCACCATATTGGTCACGCTGGTCTCGAACACCTGATCTCAGGTGATCCACCCGTCTCTGCCTCCCAAAGCGCTGGGATTATAGGCGTGAGCCCCCTCGCCCGGCCCCCTTTAAATCATGGTACAGATTTCATGGTACATTTCATCCAGAATTAGAAATTCCAGGTGTGGGCCTGGGAATGTGCATTTTAAATGTCCTCAGATAATTCTGAGACACAATTAAGCAATACAATTATTTAATTGAGATTTAAAGAGAGACATCATAGTACATTTCATTTTCTACCAAATGAAGTAACAAGACCTCCCCTAGAGACATTTACCATTGGGCACGCAAATACATTTATTTCTTTCTGTAACAGCATGTGCTTGGCAGAACACTGAGAACTGGTGATTGAGAAAAAAAATGTGGTCTTCCTGCTCACAGAAGAGATTCTAAGACATCCTTGCTAACGCAGCATTGCCAAAGGGTTGTGTATGAATCAACCACAAAGTTAAGTGGCTGATGAAACTAAGAGTTTATGAGAATTTCTGATGAGGCAGCACATAAGAGTGTGTATCGGTTATTGTGAGTGTGGTGCAGTCTATAATTTGACTTGTTTGGGTCTTTTTATTATTACATGTTGAGCTTCACTGAAGCCTGTTGCAAGCTTTTTTTTTTTTCTTTCCTCTGCTATCAGAATTCTTCTGCTTCATGATGGAGAACTGAGGCTTTGTGACAAGAATGCTAAATATTCCTTAAATTACAGACAGAAGAGGCTGAGAGATAGTTATGATGTTTTATTAGCATCTGATTCCAGGCACATGATCCCAATTCTCCTAATTTCCTAATCAAAGATGCATTTCTGCACTCACCACAGTCTAGTTGTATATCCTCTGAAGTACCCAGGAACCTAGCTAAGAGCAGTATCAAGGAAAGAAGGCGATTATGCAGATGGCTTGAGTAAAGCTTGTCTTTAGGCTCCCAGCACCCTCCCACTTCCTAGGTTCAGTATTCCTCTAGAGTTGCCAAACTTAGGGAGGAAATACATAGGTGCCTCTATGTTATCTCATTAAGGCCCTTAATAGCGTTATCTTAATCCTTCTGTCGTCAGAGCCTATCTGGGGGTGGGGTGGGATTTCAGATTAGTCACCAGACCTTGGAGCAGTATTTCTCTAAATCTGGTCCCAGATAATCTGCAGAAGAATAACTTGGGGAATATGAAAAATGCAGATTCCTGAGTTTCACCCTAGAATTTCAGAATTAGAAATTCCAGGGGTGGGCCTGGGAATATGCATTTTAAATGTCCTCATATAATTCTGAGACACAATCAAGCAAGACAATTATTTAATGACCTTAGTGTCTTTCTTTCCAACTGTATGTACTTAAAAGCTCCATCCTACTTGTAGAAAAGGAGATAACGACGGTTCAGTACCTGGCATTTACAAGGATTTCAATAAATATTTGTTTCCCAAATCCCTCCTCCTCCCCTCCCCTCC